AATGGGTCCCACAATGTGGATAAGTTTTACCCAGTACCAATACCAGCGGTTTATCAATGCCACATCATCAAACTGCGGCGCCGACCACAGAAATGCTATTCCGACTACGTACCTGAATGCGTCCGCATTTCATTACCGTTACTGATGTAAGCTCGCCACATGGCACCTCCAATCACCGTATGTTACACCGCTCCTCCAACTTGCTGTTTAAAGAATATGAAAAGATCTACAGATCCTTTTATCTTCATTTGTAAAAATAAAAAAATCTAGGCATCAATGGATAAGATCAAACTCTCAAAATTTTAACGGCTGACTTAATTAGTAAGAAATTCAGTTGTTTTGTTATTAAATGCTTCATAGGTGGTGATAAGATGAAAAAGATTTGAGTGATATTTACTGCATAATAACATAAACGGGAAATGATTTTAAAATAATTTTTTATATTATTTTTTTATACAATTTAACTATCATTTAAATAATTAATTCTTTTAATTCATGTGAAACTCATGATATTAAATACATTAATTTATTTAATAATAAATGAAAATTATATTAAAAAATAATATAAAAAGATTATCCTTGTAACATCACTCAAATTAAAAATCACATAGGATGAAAAACAATTTATAATATTATGAAATTTATCTTTTATTTAATGATAAATATTATGTAGATTAGTCTTTATAATATATTTTGAGATTTAAGTTTAATAGTTTAAATTATATATTAGAAATTTTGTATGTCTTATAAATTTATTAAAATATTAAAATAAAATAATTTATTAAAGTTATTTTAATGAGTTTGTAAAACATATTATATTTTTTAATGTACAATCTATCATATAAAATACCTTTTTTGATATATTTTTAACACAAAATATCCTCTTTATAATTAACTCCGGTTTTTTCATGTGTTTTAGAAATTTTAAGATAATTACTTTTGAGAATTATATTTTTCATTTTAGACAACATTAGATGACTAAATGATAACTGTTAGATGAAAATAACTTTTAATATTTAGGAACTTAT